CCCTGCCCCCTAGACCCCCGCCCACGCCAGGGCTCGGTGCGCTTAAAACGGCGGGTGGCCCCATCGCGGCCGCGAGGACGCATCCTTCCACTCCGCCACGGTGTGCGATCTCATTGTCCACCCTGAGCGATCTACTTAACAGGGCCTCGTAAAACTGCGGGGTCCTGTGAGTCACCGGCCACATGCCTCGGGCCATGCACAAATTAACAGAGCTCACTCAATAAAGAAAGGAGCCCCAGCGGACTTCATTCAAGGAATACCAAATTTTCGGTGTTCCTGAGTGCGTGTATTTGAAAGTGACCTATAATCTTTATTGCTTCTTTACAAAGTTACCAGGTTGACAAAGTTTATTGGAATCAGATCAACGTATGTCTATGTAGAATGCTTTAAAACATATAAAGTAAATTTAGTTTTAAACGGAAAAAGACCGCATGTCCCTTGAAATAATTATTCGGATCCGCAAGCACTATCGTATAATTTACAACGTGCACCTCTCACCCAGGATATTATACTGGTGAACAGTGAAAAGTCCGCCTACGCCTTTTTTTAACTTTTCACCAGTGATTTTTGCCTTCTGGAAAATTGAACTTTTTTTTTTCGGCCATGGAGATAAAGGGGTGAGTAACGGTTTGTTGAAGTGGGCCAACGGGGAGGACGGCGTGATTTAGGGGTCGCGCTGGCGGCGCTGGCGGCCGCACGCACGCGGCGCTAGTCACGTGACCCCGCGCCGCTTCCCACGGCGAGGAGGCGGAGGAGGAGGCGGGCGGCAGAGAGGCGCGTCACTTGGGGCGTCGGCCGGCGCGGCGCGTCGCGACGCTCGCCGACTAGAATAAACCGAGCGAATATTGGGCGGGGCGGGGTGGTGCGGGGGCAGCCCCTGCTCACCAGCTGGCCTGGGCCCCACGGCGCCCGCACCGCCCTGACGGGGCGCGTGTGTCCTACGCGGACGGGCCGGCCCCGGGCGGATGACCGAGGACCTAGGCCGCCGCGGCGCCACGCTCGGCCACCCCATGCGTCCCCTGTGTGCCAGCGATTGTCGTTTGACACAGAAAGTTGCGGTGGGCGGCGGATCCAGGAAGGCGTCCTGGGACAGAGCGAATGGGTGTTGACCTCCCAAGGGGCCTAACCTAACGCGGGCACAAACTGTTTTTGCTTGGGATTGGGCGAGTCGGGTTGGGGGCGTGCCGGGGCAACCATGTGCGGTCCGCTCGAGTATGACGGCGCGCTAGCTGTCAGCATCCTATATATGCAGTATGGGCATGCCGACCGGGACTTCACATCATACTAAGTACGCCCCGCGCCCCACCCAATCCATGCCTTCACAAACATGTACTTTCCACAAACCCGTATTTTCTTTGGATCATGTTCGATAATGCTAAGTAGATGTTCTTGGAGATTTTCATGCGCATTTTTTGCGCTAAGATCATGATTTTTCATGCGCTGAAGAATAAATAAAATATTGCGACAAAGGCACGCTATCGTACCTTCATTACTTTGTTCCCGTTCCTTCGCCCCATTTGAACTTGTTATACGCAGTCGCCTGACTGCGGCCCAGAAAATACTGTACGTCCGTTTTTTCTCAGATTCATTCGGCAAATCACGGGAGCTCGGCGCCTGCGAAACTCGGGGTAGGCCACCCCGCAGTACACGCATGCACTGCAAGCAAGATGTGGCCTACCTATCAGGCGCCATGGCAGCCGAAGAGGTCTAAACTTGGCAGGTTCGAAACGGTGAATGACGGATGTAAACCTTTTTTTCTGGCCGCGATCTCTTACGCAAAAACACGGACGTCGGCAATGACGCTTGCGGTCAGCAGCTGACCGTCAGCTTACGCGTCAGCTTCCGGCCGTCTGACCGCCGTACTCCTGTTGTGACTGGGGCGCCCGCCCACCCACGCCATATGAATGGTTCACTGGGCTAGCCCGGCCCAGCTGAGCGACCCACCCCGCCCTACCTCACCCCGCCCAGCCCCGCCAACCTCTTTTCCCCAACAGTTTTAGCCCGCTGTCCATCAGTGATGCCCCCAGCGGCGCGCGCGCCTCGATCTGCCCCGTCCGCGGGCCACATCTCACTCAGGTGGATCAGCTGCCAAACCAGTGCAGATGGCCGAGCTGCAGTCGCGGCGGTGAGGGGTTGGGCGGCTGACAGGTGCAGAGGCAGGGGTCGACTGCAATCCTTATCCATGTAAAAACCTGCGATTAATTCGACGCGGAATACTTCTGCTAGTATCATTTCTCTGCCTCGCTTCGGTGACAGCAGAATCCATCAACCCCCTCACCGCCACCTACCACCCCATCTTCTGCCGCCCAACCCATGGACGCGAATCGGCCGTCGTGAGGTGACAAAAGCTGCATCCGAATGGCCATGAATGCGCCGGCAGCAGTGTGTTTTCTCGGTCGCGATTCTAAAATTGTCTTCGTGGGTATCGTTTGTGAACGCTCTCCCCCCTCGCTTCCCCCGGCGCCCAGCGTAGTCCCCTTGCCTCATCATCGGGGAGGAGAGAATCCATGTCAAGGTGGGGGTGGGGAGGGAGGCTTCGCGTTGTTGATGAATTTCGAATGAGACCGTTAGCCGTTGTCGCGCTTCGAGTCCCAGCGGACGACACGGCAGTTTTATTTCTATCCATCATTACTTTTCGTCCCTTACCCACCCCACCCTCTTGTCTGCGCCTGCGCCGGTCAGCTCGATCATTCGCGTGCCGATCAAAGCGCCGATTGGCACTGCATCAATTTGGCTGATCGCGATGCTCTCCCGGTCATTCACATCGTCCGGCGCTGCCCTACCGCAGCACGTTTTTATGCGTCCACCAACACAACAGGTGGCTGCAGGCAACTAGAATCCGCACGGTGAAACCCCTACTACCGCTACATTCTAATTCCAAATAAGAAAATAGCAGCTCCCTGGCTGATTCCACGATTGGGAGATTTGGAGTGAAGCTTTGGAGACTTGTTATTGTTGTTGTTATTGTTGACACTGCCGATCATGGGCACCGCGGAACCGCGGGGGCCGAATACTTACTTGCTCCCACCACCTCGTGCCTTCTTCTTCTTGGCCACCTTTTTGGCCTCCATGGCGCTTCACGCGGCACACACACACACACACACACTAGAGCGCTATTGGCGAGGGGATCGGGTCGGTGACACTGCTCGCATGGCGTCGGCGCGGCCCTGAGCGTCACCGGGACGCCGACGTCGGTCGGCGCGGTCCGGTCCGGTCAGTCGTGTGTGGCGGTCAGCGCGGTGCAGTACGACGCCGACCTGGGCGCATTGCGAGCGACACTGCGGCCGGTAGGCGGGCGGTAGGCGGCCGGTCACCTCCACGGCGCGGGCACGCCCGCCGGCTGGGCTGTGTGTAACCCGATGCGGGGCTGTGGTTGCGCCGGGTGGGCGCGGCGGGGCGCGGCGGGGCGCGGCGGGGCGGCGACTCCGACGCCTGTCCGGCTGGCCGCGCGGGGTGACTTCGCGGTTCTATTTCCAGCTGGCGATCGTCAGCACTCTCCAGCCATACGCGCCGCAAGCAAAACAATAATAAGCGCCGGCAGAGTAAACGGGCGCCGTGTGTGTGAGTCGCGGCCCAAAGCGCGTCGGCGCCCGGCCGCACAGCGCACAGGTGTCGCACGAGGGGTCGACGGTGACCTTGAGCTGCACGACGGCGGCGGCGCGGGGGCGTTCCGGTCCGGTCGCCGGCGTCCTACGACGCCACCCACCGACGTCGTCGGCGTCGGTCACGAAATATTTTGGCGCCACAAAAAACACAACGGCGCGTGAAGGAGCGGTCCAGCAGCAGCGCGGCCTTCTCGGTGCTCGGGAGTGGACGGCGCGGCGTCGTCGTGGACCCGGGCGGAGGCTATCCCCCACTGGGCCTGGGCCGCCTCCCGCGCCCGGGGGACACGGCCAGGGCGGGGTGCTTTCGTGAAGACACGCCAAGTGCCGCGTCCCGGCCGGACCTGCGCCGCGCCGGACCACCGCGCACCGGGGCCGAAATAAAGAGCTACCGCCGGTCATAAAGGAAAGGGGTGGGCGTCGCGTCGGCGGCGTCCTGGCAGCGCTGCCAACCGGACGGGGCCGGCGGCGCGCTGGAGGCGGCGGGGGCGGCGCGGACGGATCGAGTGGGTGACAGCAGGACACCGGGCAGCTGAACAGTGCGCGGGGACTTTGAGCGTGATTTAAGCTGGCGCCATATTTTCTTTCCAACGTCCTCGAGGCCACCGTGCTGTTGGCGACACTGCAGGACCCCCATCTTCCCGTGCGCCGCGCGATGGACCGGCGGGAGCGGCACAGAGGCGTGACGCAAGGAGGCGTCGCTAGAGGTAGGCAGAGGCTGACGGGAGGCTCTGTGGGGTGGGGCAGGGCGGCGGGAGGAGCGGCGCAGGTGGTGGGGAAGGGGGCGGTCTACTTTGGGACAGCGGGTAAGGCTGGATGGACTGTGGGTGCTGAGGACAATTGGAAAATTTTTAAAGAGGAAGATCTTCTCATTTTGTGTGATGCTGTGATGAGCAGACAGTCCTCGGATCGGGAGGGATTGAGGTGGGGTGCAGTCATGGTTGGTGTAGAAGAGGGGGTCG